ACCTCTTGGTTAATGCCGGGCCAATTTTGAGCCCAAGCATCTTGCGAAGAAGACTAGGTGAGTAGAGACATGGGCCAGAAGAATATGCAGCATGTCATGTGCAAATCTCAGCGAGGCTCTCAACTCTTGACTACCCAGGTTTTACACCTGCACTAGCCACCAAACTTTGTTCAGGTGTAGATGCGGCCTTTGTGAAGCGAGCGGCTTTGCTGTGCTGCTCGCGGCTCTTTTGAGTCCTCCTTTTCATGCTCTAGGATCCAACTGCAATATGAGTCGGCCTTCCAATGCAGCTATCTGAGATTCGTGTGGGACGGCCTGCAATATTTTAGGCAGCTGCTCCCAGTTAGTATGCACAAATTGCGACGGAAAGCGTCGCCTTCCGACAAACCCCCAGCGCCAGAGGCTTTTCCAAGCTAGTCGCCTTCCTCAGGCGTCCTTCTCTTTTGCAGCCTCCTGCTGCTGTTGCAGCAAGTACCTTGCAGAATTCGGAATGCCGACCTCCCTGGCTAGTGGCCGTACCAACCAGGGCACAGCTTCTGTTGCATGGTCATCTGGAGGGTCTCCAAATTCTTCCTCTTGTCTTTGAGCACCTGAGCCGGCAGCTGCATTGCACTTAATTAAACCAGTCTTCGAGATGCTCCCCGTCGCATACAAAGCACCCCTTCGACTCTGGCAGCGTTGTCGGCCAGCAGCTTGCATCTCCTTCGCACGATCGCCCCAGAAGAACAACAGCAGTACTGACAACTCCACATGCCCCATGCGCGTGACGAAGGAGGTCGAAAAGCTTGGTCTGCGCGCGCCTGTTGCAAAATTTCTGTGCTTTTTCCACTGACATCTCAATGTAGTAGCCAGTGCCGACGTCGACTGTCACCTTTTTCCTGCTCGGATGGAGAATGTTCGAGAGATCTGATTGCTCCTTTGTCATCACAAGCCGAGTCCACTGCGTTTCCGTCATATGTCCATCGATGTAAAGGGATGACGTTAAAGGAATCTCAGCAAGAGGCAGCTTCTATGTTTCTGACAGAAAGACAACCACAGCGGTAAATGATGCTGCGGAATCTGTTCCTACACGAACCAGCAACAATGCGGCAACGACAAATCGGACAAAGCCGAAACACCAGGAACACGACTACAAACTCAGATTCGACTGCGACAACGACTACTGCTACTACTACTACTACTACTACTACTACTACTACTACTAACTACTACGACTACAAAGACAGCTACCACTACTCCTCTACTACTACTACTACT